CTAGAAGGACGTGACGTTTCCAGAAGAAAATCTGGTTCGCAGTGGATGTTTGATGCATGCAGATTTCTTTGTTCTCCAGCTCTCAAACTGCGGCTCAGCTGAGGAGTGGAAATTCTCAAGGTCACTTAGGTTCCACCCAGAACATGCCCTGTGGGACTGCACGGTCAGCCCCAGCGTAAGGATCCGGCACAGGACTTGGCTTTGGGCTCCCGTCTTGGCCCCAGCCAGCACATCCAGCCTCAGGAATTGATTGAGGGGAAGATTTGCTCGGCTGGGCTCATGTCTGCACCATGGTCTCCTGGCTCAGTTGCTTTGAGGCCTGGGCTTTCCCGCCAGACAATAGCTGATGTTTGGGGTACCCTCCTCTCCTTCCACTAATTCAAATTCATGGCCAGGCCCAGTGGCTCACACCTGTAATCCCCCAGCACTTTGGGAGGCAGAGGAGGGAGGATTGTTTGAGCCCAGGAATTTGAGACCAGCTTGGGCAACATAGTGAGATCTCAGCTCAAAAAAAAAAAAAAATTAGCTGGGCAGGGTAACACACACTTCTCTCTGGGGCGTGTTGTCTGGGACAAGTTCTGTGTTCTCCTGACACTCAATCTCCCCATGAGTGAAGTATACTGGCAGCTGGAAACTCACTTTCTTCAGTCATTCAACAATTTTATTTGGGAGAAGGAGGGGTATAGGTATTGTACATGAGGTAAGGTAGGCAGGGCAGAGGCCAGTTAGTGAAGGTCCTTGAAGGTCGTGGAAAGATTCTGGATTTTATTCTAATAAAGTGGGGAGCCTCTGGGGGTATGGAACATGGGAACTGCTTATGGAAACTCCCATGCTCCTCGAGGGCCACATGGGTCATGGCTGGGAGATAGCAAGAGTAAGAGAGGGGAGCAGAAGCTCGGAAAATTGTTTAGGGGAGAGATGATGGTGGCTTTGATGGGAGGATCATGGCAGAGATGAGAGGAGGGTGAACTCGAGAGAGATTTGGGGTTTAGTGAGTGAACTTGTCAAAGAACTGGATATGGGGGTGGTTATCAGAGAGGAATCAAGGAGGCCAGGCATGGTGGCTCAAGCCTGTAATCCCAGCACTTTGGGAGGCAGAGGCGAGAGGATTGTCTGAGCCCAGGGATTTGAGACCAGTCTGGGCAACTTGGCGAGACCTTGTCTCTACAATTAAAAAAAAAAAAATTAGCCAGGCATGGTGACACCCATCTGTAGTTCCAGCTGCTTGGAAGGCTGAAGTGGAAGGATCGTCTGAGCCCAGCAGGTCGAGGCTGTGGCATCTGTGAGCATGCCATTATACTCCAGCCTGGATGACAGAGTGAGACTCCAACCAAAAAATAATAAACAAACAAATAAGTGCAAAGAAACACATGAAATTAACAAAAATAATACATTCTTTTGGATTGGCGTGCTGGCTCACACCTGTAATCCCAGCACTTTGAGAGGTGGAGGTGAGAGGATTGCCTGAGCCCAGGGCTTCAAGACCAACCTGGGCAACATGGCGAGACCTCATCTTTACAATAAATCAAAAAGATTAGCCAGGTGTGGTGTCATGCACCTGTGGTTCCAGCTACTTGGAAGGCTGAGGCAGAAGGATCACTTGAGCCCAGCAGGTGGAGGCTGCAGCAGCTGTGAGTGTGCCACTGCACTCCAGCCTGGGCGACTGTGAGACTCTGATTCAAAAGCAAAACAAAACAAAACAAAAAAAACCTGATGCATTCTCTTTGGGCCAAGTTCGATGTGAGAGGACATTAGCTATTCAGCTGGAAATTCCAGGGAGACTGCTGAATAGAAGAGCCTGTCATTTGGGGAAAGGCCAGGAGAGAAAATCCAGAATTGTTGTTTTGTTGGGAGGATGGGATTAGAGGTGGGGGAATGTGCTCTGTGAGCTTGACATGTTGGATTTGAGTTGACAAGGACATCCAGAAAGAAATAGCAAGTAGGAACTGGATACGGTTTGGCTCGTGCCTGCAATCCCAGCACTTTAGAAGACTGAAGCAGGATTGCTTGAGCCCAAGAATTTGAGACCAGCCCGGGCAACTTGGTGAGACCTTGTCTCTACAAAAACTCAGAAAATTAGCTGGGCATGGTGGTGTACACCTGTAGTCCCGGCTACTTGGAAGGCTGAGGTGGAAGGATCGCCTGAGCCCAGGAGGTCGAGACTACAGTGAGCTGTGATTATGCCACTGCACTCCAGCCCGGGAGAGGAAGTGAGACCCTAACTCAAAAAGAAAGAAAGAAAGAGAGAGAGGGAGGGAGGAAAGAAGGAAGGAAGGAAAGAAACAGAGAGGGAGGGAGGGAGAGAGAGAGAAAGAAAGAAACAGCAAGCAAATAGGAAATATATCTTAGCTACTGTAACAGACAGACCCCAGGACACAGTGGCTTAAAGAAGGTAGAGGACTTTTTCTCTCCCACCTGACAGGCTACAGTAAGGGGACCAGGGTGGATGGGCGGCTCTGTGCCACTTGAGATTGTTCTGGGACCCAGGTTCCTTCCATCTTGTCACTCTGCTGTGCCTCAGGGTTTTGTCTTCATCTCTGCATGATCAGTACTAGGTCATGGGTGCTTTGTATTCTTTTTTATGAGACGGTCAGGGGTGACCACAAGAGGAGACACAGGAGAGACCCAGGGAGAAATCAAGTTTATTACTCATTGGTCCTAGAGATAGAGGTGTGCCGTGTCATGCAGGGCCACAAGGGAAAGGGGCCAGGGTGGTCAGAGCCTTTATTGGGATTTCCACAGTGAAAGTAAGGCAGACAGGATGGTGCTAACTTGATTATTTTATTTATTTATTTATTTTGAGTTGGAGTCTCACTCTGTCACCCAGGCTGGAGTGCAGTGGCATGCTCACGGCCACCCCAGCCTTGACCTGCTGGGCTCTGGCAATCCTTCCACCTCAGCCTACCAAGTAGCTGGAACCACAGGTGTGTGCTACCACATCCGGTTGTTGATTGATTTTGTTGGACTTTAGGCTCTAGGCTGTAGGGCAGTCTCCAGTTGCCTGGCATCTGGCCCTGGGCTGATTCCCACAGAGGAATGCTGTCTCCTGGTGCAAGGGCCAGATAGAAGGGTCTGGCTCTGGACTGATTAGTTTGCCTATCAAAGACATGATCCTGGCTGGGTCCTTTGATGTCTCTAAAAATTGACTGCTTCTGCTGAGCACAGTGGCTCATGCCTATAATCCCAGCACTTTTGGAGGCCGAGGTGAGAGGATTGCCTGAGCTCATGGGTTTGAGACCAGCCTGAGCAACTTGGCGAGACCTCATCTCTACAATAAATCAAAAAATTAACTGGATGTGGTGGCACATGCCTGTAGTTCCAGCTAGTTGGAAGGCTGAGGCGGAAGGATCGCCTGAGCCCAGCAGGTTGAGGCTGTGGTGCCCGTGAGTGTGCCATTGCACTCCAGCCTGGATGACAGATTGAGACTCCAAGTCACACACACACACACAAAAAGGCTACTTCTGGAGAGACAGTCTCTTGACAGCCTGAAAGATTTTTAAAGATGTCAAGACAGCCAGATGCAGTGACTCATACCTATAATCCCAGCACTTTGGGAGGCGGAGGCGAGAGGATTGCCTGAGTCCGGGGGTTCAAGACCAGTGTGGGCAACTTGGCCAGACCTCGTCTCTACAATAAATAAATTAAAAAAAGAAAAATTAACCAAGTGTGATGGCATGTACCTGTAGTTCTAGCTACTTGAAAGGCTGAGGCAGAAGGATCACATGAACCCAGCAGGTCGAGGCTGTGGTGACCGTGAGTGTGCCACTGCACTCCAACCTTAGTGACAGTGAAAATCTAATTAAAAAAAAAAAGATGTCAAAACTTTGTAATATACAGAAAATTAAAAAACATTGCCAGGCACGGTGGCTCATGCCTGTAATTCCAGCACTTTGGGAGGACTGCTTGAGCCCAGGAATTCAAGAGCAGATTAGCAACGTAGTGAGATCTCATCTCTACAAAAAGTAAAATAAAAAGCAATCTTTAACAACAACAAAAAAAATTACGACACAGTGGGCAGAACAGTATTCTAAGCTGGCAGAACAAGGAAAGAATGGAAGTTCAGGGGAGCAGGAAGTGGGGGGAAGATGTCCCTGACACTTGCCTCTTCTGTTCTCATTCCATGGATGAACCCCTAGTCTCCTAGCTTCGCCCGGCCTCAAGAGAGACTGGGAACTATGGTCTCCACTTGGGCAGCCCTGTGTCTGCCTTCTCCTTGTTGCTGTGGGAGGAAAGGAAAGAACGTGTACTTATGTACCAGCTATCAGGATGTCAAGTCTGGAACTTGGAGGAGGGTCTAAGCTGGAGACGTGAATTGAGCAGTTATCTGCAGAGATGCTGTTTAAAGGCACGGGGATGGCAAGGTGACTTAGGATGAGCTTTGAGAGAAAAGGGAAGAGGGCCAGGACCCAGCCCTGCTTGAATCCCATCATTTATTCATTCGCTCATTTTAAAATTCTTTTTGAGTTGGAGTCTCACTCTGTCGCCCAGGTTGGAGTGCAGTAGCATGCTCACGGCCACCACAGCCTTGACCTGCTGGGTTCAGGCGATCCTTTCGCCTCAGCCTTCCATACCTGGAACCACAGGCGTGTGTCGCCACGTCCAATTAAGTTTTTATTTATTGTAGAGATGAGGTCTCGCCAAGTTGCTCAGGCTGGTCTCGAACCCTGGTTGTAGGCAACCCTCTCATCTCGACCTCTCAAAGTGCTGGGATTATGGGCATGAGCCATTGTGCCCAGCCTCATTCATTTATTTTTGAGACAAGTTGTCACTGTCACCCAGGCTGGAGTGCAGTGGCATGATCACAGCTCACTGCAGCCTCGACCTTGTGTGCTCAGGCGATCCTTCCACCTCAGTCTCCTGAGTAGCTGGGATGACAGGTATGAGCCACTGCACCTGGCCACCTTATCATATAAAGGACAGGGAGAGGAATTTCCCAAGTTTCCTCACAGTTCCTCGTGCTGTGACCTAGCACATTCTTCTCCTTCTGGCTCTCTTCTCAGGCCATGTATGACCCCATCAACCCTGACAGAGAAACCTTGGAGCAGCCATCGCTAACAGACCCCCAGCGTCTGTCCAACGAGCGAGAGGTGCTGCGAGCCCTGGAACCCCTGCTTGCCCAGGCCAACTTCTCCCCACTCTCCGAGGACGCCCTGGCCTATGCGCTGGTGGTGCACCACCCTCTGGACGAGGTTCAGGTACCTGCCTTCCAGAGGGGACTAAGACTTCCAGCAGGCCTTGGGGCCGGCTGGAGGCTTTGGAGGCAAGGGCTGCAGGGAGTTGCAGTTCTGAACATGGGATGCTGACCCATGTGGCACCCTTGGGGAGTTAGAAAAAGGTGCCACTTTCAGGCTGGGCATGGTGGCTCACATCTATAATCCCAGCACTTTGGGAGGCCGAGGTGAGAGGATTGCCTGAGCCCAGGGGTTCGAGACCAGCCTGGACAACTTGGCGAGACCTCGTCTCTACAATCAATCAAAAAATGAGTTGGGTGTGGTGGTGCAAGCCTGTAGTTCCAGCTACTTGGAAGGCTGAGGTGGAAGGATCACCTGAGCCCAGCAGCTTGAGGCTGCGGTGGCCATAAGCGTGCCACTACACTCCAGCCTGGGTGACAGAGTGAGAGACTCCGACTCAAAAAAAGAAAGAAAAGAAAAAGGTGCCACTTTCTCAGGTCACTTCACTGCCATCTGTTGGAAAGTGTTATATGATTTGGGTCTTCTTAGGACCAGAGACTTTATCGCCATCTGCCAGAAAATGGTAGCAATAACTAATACAAAACGCCATCCTTAACGTCAACAGAATTACAATAAAAATACTAAAATTTTCCAAAGTTCAACATTTTAGTGATTTTACAATGTACTTTTTCTTTTTCTTTTTTTAAAATGAGAATCTTACTCTGTTATCCGAGCTGGAGTGCAGTAGGCATGCTTATGACCACTGTAGCCTTGACCTGCTGGGCTCAGGTAATCCTTCCGCCTCAGCCTTCTAAATAGCTGAAACTGCAGACACATGCCATCAAGCCCGGCTAATTTTTTGATTTATTATAGAGATGGGGTCTGCCAACTTGCCCAGGCTGGTCTCAAACTCCTGGACTCCGGCAATCTTCTTTCCTTGGCCTCCTAAAGTGCTGGGATTACAGGCGTGAGCCATTGAGCCTGGCCTTAGAATGTACTTTTTCTAATGTCATGTTTTGTTGTCTCTGAAACTGGGTTGTGACTTACAAGCAGTGGTGTGACATGGTTGGTTAAATTGGCAACGTATTTTCTTTCTTAGTTGCTTCATAAAATAATTGGGTAAAATCAGTGGTAAGGCCGGCCTTGGCGGCTTGGCCTGTAATCCCAGCATTTTGGGAGGTTGAAGTGAGTGGATTATCTGAGCCTGTGGATTCGAGACCAATCTGGGCAACTTGGCGAGACCTCTTCTCTACAATAAATCAAAAAATTAGCTGGGCATGGTAGCACATGCCTGTAGTTCTGGTTACTTGGAAGGCTGAGGCAGAAGGATCACCAGAGCCCAGCAGGTCAAGGCTGTGGTGACTGTGAGCATGGCACTGTACTCCAGCCTGGGTGACGGAATGAGACTCCCCACTCAAAAAGCAAATCAAAACAAAACAAAAATCAGTGGCAGATTGCATTCTGGGAAACGTGGTAAGAAAGATGACTACTACATGAAAGGATTGTCTTAGACATTACGCCCTTGTGCAGTATAGGACATGAACAACCATATGTGACTATCCAGACACTGAATGGTGACAAGTGGGGAAAGGGAGGAATTATTCCTGCCCTCAACAACGCAACCCATGTTTAGCTGCTTCTGCTTCCTTCACCTCCCTTGACAGGTGACGATAAATTTGGATCAGTATGTCTACATGCAGTTCTGGGCCCTGGGCCAGCGAGTTGGGCTGATGCCCCGTAAGTCCAGCGTGGGCTCCAAGCGTGGCTTCTTCACCAAGTTGCCCCCCGCAGAGAGGTGAGGGGGCCCTTGTTCCCCAGCTGCAGCAAGAGGGAGCAAGGTTAGAATCGAGAGGGGACTGACAGGTCAGTGTCTGGGTTGGGGTGTCTGGGGTCTGGGTGGGAAGTTGAGAAATGGAGAGACAAGAATTATCCAAATGCTGCTCTTTCTTCCAGAGGGAAAGTGAGTACTATAGTTCCAGGGGCAGAGAAAACATAGGGACAGTTCTTCCCATTTTCCAAATAAGGAAAAATGAGGCTGGACATAGTTGCTCTTGCCTATAATCCCAGCACTTTGGGAGGCCAAGGCAGGAGGACTCTTGCGCCCAAGAGTTTGAGGCCAGCCTAGGCAACATAGTGAGACTTTGTCTCTACAAAAATTTAAAAAATAAGTTGGGTGTGGTGGCACGTGCCTGTACTCCCAGCTGCTAGGGAAGCTGAAGAGGGAGGATGGCTTGGGCCCAGGAGGTCGAGGCTGTGATGAGCTGTGATCATGCCTTTGCACTCTATCCTGGGCAACGGAGTGAGACCCTGACTCAAAAAAGAAAAAAAGGGGGCCCGGCACAGTGGCTCACGCCTGTAATCCCAGCGCTTTGTGAGACTGAGGTGAGAAGATTGCCTGAGCTCATGGGTTTGAGACCAGCATGGGCAACTTGGCAAGACCTCATGTCTATAATAAATAAAAAAAATAGTTGGGCATGGTGGCGCACGCCTGTAGTTCCATCTACTTGGAAGGCCGAGGCAGAAGGATCGCCTGAGCCCAGCAGGTTGGGGCTGCGGTGGTGGTGAGCGTGCCACTGCACTCCAGCCTGGGCGACAGAGTGAGACTCTGAGTCAAAAAAAATAAAAGTAAAAAAAGGGAAAACTGAGGCTTAGAGAGGGAGGCTCCCATTCTGAAGAAGTGGTGCAGCCAGGATCTGAGGAACAGCTACATGTCTACTAACAGGGTCTGCACTGCTTTCCTGGTCCCCTGCTGCTGGATACAACTTGTTTCTGATGTCTTCCCCACCATAACTAGGTGGCTTTGAGATGGTTGTGACTTGGAGCCCAAGAGAGCATCTAGGGCTAGAGGGGCTCCCCAGGGTGGTCCTGACCCCAGGGCGCCTCGTTTCTCTCTTCCAGGAGATACTTTAAGCGGGTGGTGCTGGCAGCTCGGACAAAGCGAGGGCACCTGGTGCTGAAGAGCTTCAAGGACACGCCGCTGGAGGGCCTGGAACAGCTGCTGCCCGAGCTGAAGGTGCGAACGCCCACCCTGCAGCGTGCCCTGCTCAACCTCACGCTGGCAGTCTCGGGCTTGGTGTTCTTCGTCAATGTGGGCATGGTGGTGCTCACCGACCTCAAGGTGGCCACCTCCCTGCTGCTGCTGCTCTTTGCCATCTTCATGGGCCTGAGGGCCTCCAAGGTGAGTGTGCACCCCCTGCCTCCCGGGTCAGGCCACCTCTGTGTTTATTCCATGTTGTGCTGTCTGTCTTCCCTCCCTCCCTCTCTCCGTCATTCCCTCTCCTTTCTTCCTTCCTTTTTCCCTCCCTCCCTCTCCTCTTCTTTTTTGAGTTGGGGTCTCACTCCAGGGCCTGGAGTGCAGTGGCACGATCACAGCTCATTGCAGCCTCGACCTCCTGGGTTCAGGTGATCCTTCTGCCTCAGCCTCCCAAGTAGCTGGGACTACATTTGTGCCACCATGCCTGGCTAATTTTTTGTTGTTTTTTTCTGTAGAGACAAGGCCTCCCTATGTTGCCTGGGCTGGTCTCGAACTTCTAGGGCCCTTGACCTCCCAAAGTGCTGGGATTACAGGCGTGAGCCAAGTGCCTGGCCCTTCCCTTTCTTCATTTCTTTCTCTCTCCCTCCCTCCTTTCTTTGCCTCCCTTCTTTTCTTCTTCCCTCTCTTCCTTTTCTCCTTCCCTTCCTTCCTCCCTCCCTAACTCCTCCCTTTCTTCCTTTTTTCCTTCCCTACCTCATTTACTCAGCACACCTTGGGATTTCTCAATCCTTTCAAACCTCATTTTCTTCATCAGGAAGGTGGGATGACAGTGAGATCTGCCTTGTAGGACTGTGAGCATAGAATGAGTGGGTCCGTGAGAAGCGCTGGGCACAGTGCCTGTCTCGGATGGATGCTCCATGGGCGCTGACAGCCATCTGCCAAGCATGGGCTTCAGAGGCCCTTTAGTGATATGAAGGGCGCATGGTTCGGAACTGGACTGCCTGGATTTGAATCTGACTCTGCTGCTGTTTCCTAGCTGTGTGATCTTGAGCACATTGCTTAACCTCTCTGTGCCTCAGCTCCAGAATCTGCAAAGTGAGGATGATGATAGAACCTCACAAGGTCGTTCTAGGGAGTAAATGAATTAATATGCATACAGTGCTGAGAACAGGCCTCGCACGTGGTGCAGGAAGTACTCCATGAGAATTAGCTATTACCGTGATGATGATTATTATCATTACTCATTGGGCTTTTTGTTCCCTGAGTCCCTATCCCGACTGGGTATCATTATCGCTGGGGGAGCTGGCTTATAAATGCAGCCTCTTGGGCTCCAGCCCTAATGGACTGAATCGGAAACTCTGGGACTGGGGCCCAGGAAACTATATTTTGAACAAATTCCCTTTCTGATTTTGCTACATGTGGGCGCAGGGCTGCCTCGAACAGTTGCACAGGTTGTTCACCATCCAAGGATTCATGGCTGAGGGGGAAGGTGGGGGCTGACGCCCAACTTATGCTCTGCTTGCCAAACAGCATGCCCTGTCTCACGCCTCCATCAGCCCCCAGGGGCTGCCTTTTACTGGTTCTCCCCAGGGTTGGCAGCAGGAGTGCAGCCCGGCAGGAGGCGTCTGTTGTGGCCGGCCGTTCACCTGCTGGCTCATTGGTTTTCAAGCTGTTTTCAACCATTCTGACAGGCTCTTGGGAAGACTGGTAATAAATCCCGCAGATAATAGCCAGGCTGCGCTGGCTGAGAGGGTGCTGGGATGCTGGGCCAGCAGGAGGGCCCGGAGGGGGCAGGACTCAGCGGATTCAAGGGAAGCTTTGAAAGGGAGGGCTGAGCCTGGTGGAGAAGGGCCCGAGCACAGCTTGGCGTTTGTGTCTCATGGGGCTGGAGTCCAGGGCGCAGGGGAGAGGGAAGCCTGAGGGCAGCGAGGGCCTTTACCACCTCTCAGGCCATACTCAGCTTGTTACTGTCCCCCCACTCACCGCCACCTCCTTCTCCTCCCCAGTTCCCCATCTGTGGGGGTCTGCTGTACCCCAGACACTGGCTAGACCCTGCCCCCCATGCCTCGGTCACCAGCCCACCCTTCCTGCACCGGAGTCTTTGGGTCTGGTGACTGCATCTTCCCAGCCTCCAGCTGGTCCCCTCCAGCGCATCCCCCACTAGATCCTGCCCTCCCCTGCACACTCCTGCCCCTCCCCTGCTCATGGCCTGGCCTGGGGACCCTGGGGTCCCTGCTTCCCCAGCCTTATCAGACACAGCCCTTGTGACACCTCCCCTGTCCTTGGGCCCTGCACCTCCTCACTGGCTGTCTCTGCATATTCTGTTTGTTGCCTTGGACTGAAATGTCCTTACCCCTTCCTTGGGCTGGGTAGCCCCTGTGCACTCTTCCCCCTCATGTCTGAGGCCGCCTGCTCCAAGAAGCCTTCCTGGATGCCCCAGGCTGGTGGAGTGCCCCTGTGGGCTCTACCACACCCCAGGCTTCACTGTGGGTCCCTGCAGCCCAGCACAGATTAGGCTGGTGGGGTGGCCTGGGGTGGGCTGTTGAACCTGCACCCCAGAGATGCCTCAGCCCATCCTGCCCTGAAGGAGAGGTATGGGACTCCCATGCACACAGTCGGGGCCTAAAAGGTAACTGCGGACCCTTCAGGAGCCTGAGGATGCACTGCCCGCCCCCAACCGGGAGGGGATGTGGATGTCCACCTTCTAAGAACGCTCCAGGTGACTTGGCTTGTTCCAGGTCCAGAGGCCTGAAAGAGCAGGGCCTGTTCAGGGTGAGCTGGCTTGCTCCCTGTGGGCTGCATTCAGAGGGGCCAGCAGGAGGTGAGCAAGAGGGCCTCACCTTCTAGGCCAAGGGTCAGGGATGCTTGAGTGTGCCCGGGAGCCAAGGGAGGGCTGTGAGCAGGGGAGAGGCAGGGCCAGCTCTGGAGCTGTGTAAGGACAGACTGCAGAAGGGAGGCTGAGGCTGTGGCCATGCACCGGGCAGGGGAGGATAGAGCCTGAACCAGGGCTGAGCCGTGGGGCTGGAGAGGAGGGGATGGGCAGAGAAAGTCAGGGGACAGTAGACAGGCTGGAGAGGAGGGAGCGAGGACAGTGCCAGGGGTCTGGCCTGTGATTGAGTAGATGGTGGGGCCGCCCCAGACATAGCTCCCAGGGAGGAGGAACAAGTGGGCCTGGGGATATACTGTGCCCAGTGGGGGCCGTGCTGAGCACTGAAGGGACCATCCAGGTGGTAGCTCTCCAGGGAGATGTCCGGCTTTATCTCTGTGCCATGGAGACCTGCTCCTTTAACTAGGAGAACTCAGCTTCACACGCTTGGCAGACTCAGACACAAAACTTAATGTGTCTTTTATTTTTTTTTTGAGTTGGAGTCTCACTCAGTCGCCCAGACTGGAGTGCAGTGGCCGCTCCCAGCCACCGCAGCCTCGACCTGCTGGGCGCCAGCGATCCTTCCGCCTCAGCCTTCCAAGTAGCTGGAAGGTGCGCGCTACCACGCCCGGCTAATTTTTTGATTTATTGTAGAGACGAGGTCTCGCCAAGTTGCCCAGGCGGGTCTTGAACCTGCAGATTCAGGCAATTCACTCACCTCGGCCTCCCAAAGCGTGGGATTTCAGGCTGAGCCACTGAGCCCGGCCTAATGTGTCTTTCATACCAGATAGTCACTAAAGCACGCTGTTCCTGCGTCTTGCCTTCCACCAAAGAAATGGCCATTCGTTCCAACGCAGAAACATAAACTGACTGTGCAGGGCTTGAAAAAGAGGGTACAGTCCACACACAACTGTGTCATTGATACCGTGCAGGCTGTTTCAGTGTTTTTTCTGGGGTGGGTTGACTTCAGAGGCATTTCACCCCAGGCCTCAATGTAAGACGGGCAACACTCTATGGGCGCCCGGCACAGGGTGTGGATGAAGATTCCCTGGTAGCAATGTTTGGTGAGTGCTTTTGAGGGCCCAGGCTCTGTCCCAAATGTCTTTGGAACCAGGTCCTGACTTCCAGCACCCTCCCGGCATCCACCTCATTTTACCGACGGTGCTGCCTGAGGACTGAGGTCTGAGTCCCAGCTTGCAGCCGGTGGAGGCATGGTTGGGGTAGGTGCTTGGGCCTGCCCACCACAGCATCTAGCAGCCTGAACTCATTTTGGGATGAATGGAGGTTCTGGGCATGGATTTTCAGTGTGAGCCCGGAGGGCATCCGCTGGGCTCTAACATCTCCTCCTCAGAGATGCCAAGGATGGGAAAAGGGGTCTAAGCAGGGAGGGAACCAAGCATGGGGAAGGGGGCAGCTAACAGCCAGTCAGGTCCCACACCTGCCCCTCCCCCACACCAGCCCCATCCCCCAACAGTCTTCTCTCTCTTCTCTTTACAGTTTAATGTTTTAAACCTTTTTTTCATTACAGAAACGCTCAAACAAATACAGAAATAGAATAGTACCATAAACTCCTATGTAGCTAGCACCCAGCATCAATAATTAGCAATAGCTGATCGGATTTGCCTAAAGATTCCTGCTTCCCACCATTGGGTCGTTTGGAAGCAAATCCTAGACTTATCTGTGAATACTTTAGTGTGTCTCTAAACAGTGAAAATTTACTGTGACAAAATCGTCCAAGGCTAAAACTTGTATCATCTGGAAATCTTTGAGCAAATCCATCCATACGTGACTCAAATGAGCAAAGCAGTACAGCTGTTGCTAAAAACCGAGTTTTCCTATCCAACTGGGGCCTTAGAACCACGGGAAAGAGACTGTGTGTGTGAAAAATACAGATTTCCCTGGCCGGGCACGGTGGTGGTTTATGCTTGTAATCCCAGCACTTTGGGAGGACGAGGTGGGAGGATCGCTTGAGGTCTGGAGTTGGCGACCAGCCTGGGCAACATAGCGAGACCTTGTCTCTACAAAAAAAAAAAAAAAAAAAGTAACGGAGCATGGTGGCGCGCACCTGTAGTCTCAGCTGCTGGGGAGGCTGAGGCTGAAGGATCACCCTGAGCCCAGGAGGTCGAGACCGCGGCGAGCCTTGATTGTGTCACCGCACTCCAGCCTGGCTGACAGAGTGAGACAAAAAAAATATACAGATCCCCGGACTCCAGCCCCGGACTCACACTGAAGAGATATGGGAAGGCCGAGAAGTAGCGTTTTTCCACAGCCGCCCCCCCAAGCCGGGAAGGCCGCGCCAGCGGGAGGGAGGGACAGGGACCCGGGCGTATGGGCGGGTCCGAGCTGAGCGCGGCGCCGTCCGGTCTGCAGATGTTCGGGCAGCGGCGCAGCGCGCAGGCGCTGGAGCTGGCGCACATGCTCTACTACCGCAGCACGTCCAACAACTCGGAGCTGCTCAGCGCCCTGGCCTTGCGCGCGCAGGACGAGCACACCAAGGAGGCGCTGCTGGCGCACAGCTTCCTGGCCCGGCGGCCGGGGGGCGCGCGCGGCCCGCCCCAAGGTAGGACGCAGCCCGGGACCCGCCCCCGCGAGACACCATCCGCACCCCCAGTTCCCTGATGTGCGAGGAGACCCCGGCCCTCGCCAGACGGCATCTCGGAATCCAGATTCCCATCTTGGTCCCTGGTGTTACCTCCCTCTCCCGACCTCAGCTTGGATGAGGGTCCTGGATCCAGGACACGCCTGTCTCTCCGCACTCCCTTCTCTACCTGAGCCCACACTCTCCCTAGAGAGGCCCTTGTCCACTCCCTATGTCTGATCCCTTTCCTACAGGATCCCCCACCCTCTGAGAGCCCCAGACTAAGCCTTGTCTCACACCCCTCCCCCGGGCTTCTCACATTCCCCCTCCCCCCTTCTTCCAAACCCTCGCCCTCCCTATTCTTTGCCCTGTCCCCCTCCTCGCTGGCCCCTCCCAGTCCTTCCTGATCTTAATCTGACCTCACAACACCTGCTCTCCCCCTGCAGAGACCTCCCGGTGGCTCCAGTTGGAGGTGGAGAACTGGATCCTGGCCCAGTCAGGCTGTGAGGTGGCCTTCAACGGAACTCGGGCCCTGGCCCACCTGCAAGCCCTGACCCCCAGTATGGGGCTGTACCCACCCCCGGGTTTCCCCAAACTAGGCTCGTTGACTACAATCACTTCCAAGCCCTCTCAGGCCACAACCAGCAGTGACAACCCAGCCCCGTCCGGCCACCCGGCTAGTACCTAAGCCCCGCCTCCTCCACGACAAACTGTCAATTACTGTTACGATACTTTTGCACTTCAAATTCCAATCACTGACCGGCAATCTTTTTTTTGCAACGCCATGTGCTTAAGCGAAGCAGCCAGTCGCAGCAGCCAGCAGTCGCTAGGTCCCGGCCTCTCTGGTGAACAGCCAATCGGCTATCTAGCTCTGCTTCTAGCCCATTTCTTAGTCCCGCCCTCCCTGTAAACGTCCAAACGCGGTTTGACTGAGGAGCCAGTAGCGGCTGCTTAGCTCTGGCGTCTGTAAACTACCAGGTAGGGTGGTTAAAGCTATGCTCTCCCGAGGCTATATATCATTGTCTTTTTAGCCTGCTCCAGGCAAGTTGCCCGTCGTGTGCACCAAGGCCGTTTAGCCCTGCCTCCTGGCAAACAGCCAATGACAGCTGCTGGGCACCGTCAACCTTGAGCAGCCAGTTGTCGCTGCGGGGAAGCTACCAATCAGAATTTCTAAAGAAAGCCTGATCTTTCTATCACCTGCTGCTGCTTAGATGGAGGGCCATCTGGTCAACTGCCGATCAGGGTGACCAGGCCGAAGGGGTTGGGAACCTCGTGCTAGGTAGAAAGCCGTGGGTTTGCAGGAACCAGAGACCATCCTCACCCCAAGGCTTGATCCCACCCGGGCTCCCAACAACCTCAGGTGCCTTCCTTGCCCGGGTCCCTCTCCCCTTCTACAGAAACTACCTCGGTCTGGATCTCCCGCCGCCAGTGGCCTGTGCAATATTTATTGGTTTTTCAATTTCTCCCGTCCCCTCTCCCAAAGGAATAAATCGTATTTAATAAATCTGGATGAGTCGGGTGGCTGCAGGAGTTGGAGGGAAGGAAGGCATCAGAATCCTGAAAAGAAGGGACTCGGGGTCTTGGGATATTTATGCGTGTAGATGTGTCCCAGGCAGAGAAAACTGTAGTCCTAGAGAGAGGTTGGGTTCATGGTTGTTGAAACAAAGACTGACAGGGTGACAAAAGAGAATCTTAGAAGAATCTGATTCCTGAAGAGAGGAACCAGGGCCTCATGAACAGAGGAGACAGGGCAGCCATGTGCGGTGGTGCAGATTGTTCGCTGCACAAAGGCACACAGCCTGGAGGTGTAAAATCCGGCCGTGCCCCATGTGTGTCCTGGCATGGAACTGGGTCAGCTAGGAGGAGGGAGATGCCTTCTAATTTTTACGAAGGTTTCATGTAGGCTAGAGACAGTCTTTGGAGAGAGAGGGGAGGAGGGTTTCCAAGAGGGAAAAAGAAAGCACTCTTCCCAGAGGGAATGTTAGAGGAAAATAAAAAAGAGATCCGCAGTCTGGAAACACACCATGCCCCTGTCCCAGAGAGAAAGAGAGTGACAGAACCGTGGGCAAGGAGAGAGAACTGGGCACTTTGGACTCCTGATCCCAACAGGATTTTCTGGGACCCAGACTCCTGGTACTTTCCCAGAAGCGTCTGGAGGTCTGTCTAGGCTCAGGGGGCTCCTGGGGCCTGAGAGGGGAGGCCCAGGCTCTCGGGTCTATGGGAGAGAAACGACGCCTGGGATGCCGGGCTCCAGTGTCCAGGGGAGGAAGGCGCTGGGGGCTGGGAGATGGGCATTGAGGGCGGTGGCTGGTGGTGGAGCCACTCACGGGTCCAGGAGAGGTCAGGCATGCGCAGCCTGGAAGGAAAGAGATAAAGGCAGAGCCCCGCGGTTAAACGGTTTTATTTTCTGGAGGACGCGCGGGGGCTGAGGGGCGATTCCGAGGGGCGGGAGCGGGCGGGCGCCAGGGCAAGCGGCGCTCACTCCCGCTTCCGCAGGTGGATGTAGACGATGCCGCTGACCAGGGCGAGGGGGAAGGCCACCCAGGCCAGCGCGAAGCAGTAACCGAAACTGCCCCCTCGCGGGTGCTTGGCCAAGATCTCCTCCACGTGGATAGCGTAGATCAGGGCCCCGGTGAACACCGCCACGCCTGCGGAAGACGGACCACGCATCACGCGGCGCCCGAGAGGACTGCGTTTCCCAACAGCTCGCCGGGCGGATTGGCAGCCGGGTGGGCGGCCGGCGCCGTCCTGCTTGGGAGTGCGGCTCTCTCCCCAGGGCCGCGCGACCGAGCTACTGCAAGAGTGGGCATGGCGCCTTATTTAACCCCTGGGTCCCATTTGCTCCTCCATGAAATGGGGCAGTAATTATCTATCATCTATCTATCCATCTACCATCTATCAAGCATCTATCATGTATCCATCCATTATCTATCATCTACCTATCATCAATCAATCAATTATCTATCACCTATCTACCTATCAATCTGTCACCTATTATCTATCATTTATCACTTACCCATCAATCTATCCTCTATCAATCTGTTATCTAGCTATCGATCTATCATCCACCCAAGGGATATTTTTGAGTGTTTCTCTACAAGCCAAACACGCACTAGTGAATTAATAAAACAGAGAGGGGCTTTGCGGGAACTTAGAAAGATACGAGGGGACCCCCCCAAAACCCGGAATTATCTTTTGTAGGGTGAGCTCCAGTAATACACTCGGAATTTGTTCTTTTGGATCAAATGGTTAATCAAAATTTTTAGCTGGAAGTTTTGGGAGGGCTACATCACGATTTGCAGAAGAAACGTCCCGAATTTTGGCACATAAGGTGACTGGTTCTTCCATCATGACAACGCACCTGTCCACACCGTGCTGACCAAAAGTAGCATGACCACTGTCCCCCACTCTCCCTATTCACCCCATGTCACCCGGAGCGACTTATTTTTTGTTTCTCCAGAGGAAAAAAGTTCTCAAAGGGAAATTTTTTGCTGATGTGGAAGAGGTGAAACAAACAACAACAAAAAACCAAACAGCAGAAGCACTAAAAGGCATCAAAACTGATGAGTTCAAAGGCTGCTTTGAGCAATGGAAAAAGTGTCTCGATATTGCATCAAATGGGGAGTACTTTTAAGGTGACTGAAGTTTAAATACGCAAGAATGCACAATTTTTTATAAATAAATTCTGGGGTTTGGGGAGTCCTCCCTTATAATATTCCCCAAACCGAGGACTATGATTAACTTAGCCCTTTGCACCTAAAGTCAAAAAATGTATAAGTAAACAAAACTACCTGACGTGTCTGATGCATAGTAGGTACACAGGAAATAGCAGATGGCTGATGTAAATACCATTACTATTATGATTCAGAGCTTTCTTCTGGGGTATTAACTAGCTACCTCCCCCTTCCCCTTGCATCATCCCTGGGACCCAAATTCTTTACCTATACCCTCCTCCCCAGCCCTGACTCCCTGAATCCCTAAGTTTCCCATTGCCAGTTTGCCAGTTCCCCCATGACTGAAAGGCACACACTACAACCACCATTTAGTCACTGAAAACTACAACTCCCATCAGTCCCTGGGGGCAGAGAAGTAGTCTGTGGAGGCACCTCCAGAGACATTGGGCTGTTGAAAGCTTCTCTTTCTTGTTTTTTTTTTTTTTTGGGGGGGGGTTGGATCTCATTCTGTTGCTCAGGCTGGAGTGCAGTGGCACAATCACAGCTCACCGCAATCTTGACCTCTTGGATTCAGGAGATCCTCCCTCCTCAGCCTCCCAAGTACCTGGGACTAAAAGCACATGCCAGTACACCCGGCTAATAGTTCGATTTTTTTTTTTTGTAGAGACAAGGTCATGCTGTGTTGCCTAGGCTGGTCTTGAACTCTTGGCCTCAAGCAATCCTCCTGTCTTGGTCTCCCAAAGTGCTGGGATTACAGGTGTGAGCTATGGTGCACAACTGAAAATGAATTTCCTTGCCCAGGTGTCAATTTTCAAGGCTCCCAGCATCCTGACACACACACCCTTTCCCTCCCTCCAATTCCCCGGGGGTGGGGGCACAGTTCTCACTGGTGCAAAGTTGGCAGAGCCCAGTAGCATAGAAGAGACCTCCTCGCCGCATGGTGTAGAGCTGGAACATGAACAGGATGAAGGATAGACAGCAGAGGATGAGGGAGAGCACCATGAGGACCTGCACCGCCTTCAGCCAGCCTGCAGTGAGGGCGGAGAGGTGGGGATCACAGTGGGGCCAGAGTTCCAGCTCCTCCTGCTTGCTCAGCCTGTGTCCCTTCTCCCCTCCCCTGCCCCACGTAGAGCCATAGGAGTTTAGATACTTAGGAGTATCACATAGTGACCTTGAGCCCTGTGATCTTGCTGAATTCCCTTTTCAGTCCTAGTAGTTGCTTTCCAGAATTTTGAGGATTTTCTAAATCAACACATTTACTGGGAATAGAGACTTAAAAAAACAAAAACAAAAAACTAATTCCTTTCCCATGCCTTTTATTTATTTTTTTCTTGCCTTGTTGCATTGGCTACCTTTAATAAAACATTGAATGGAAGTGGTGAGAGCAGACTGCTTAATTTACTCTTAAGGAAAACCATAACAACTTTCAGCTGGAACTTAATTAATTTTTAGAGACGGGGTTTTGCTTGTTGCCCAGGCTGGAGTGCAGTGGCACAATCACAGCACACAGCAGCCTCAACCTCCGGGGCTCAGGCGATCCTCCCACCTCAGCCTCCTGAGTAGCTGGGACTACAGGCACATGCCACACGCCTGGTTCATCTTTTTCTTTTTTTTTCTTTTTAATTTTCTGTAGAGATGAGGTTTCACTATGTTTCCTAGGCTGGTCTCGAACTCCTGGGCTTAAGTGATCCTCCTGTCTTGGCCTCTCAAAGTGCTGGGATTACAGGCACAAGACACAGTGTCCAGCCTCACTTGGAGCTTTAGACCGGTGCAGCGCTATCCCTTTAGAACTCAGATGTCCCGACCCCTCCCCCACTTCCTCAGAACTTAGAGGAATTGGTCCCATGTAGTCATTCAGAACACCAGCTCCATCTCCTTAGAACTTTGGAAACACAGTCTTACCTTCTCAGAATCTTGGGAGCTTTCTATAGGTTTATGCATTCCATAAACCTATAGCATGTGCCCTTCACCCGTTCTGAATTGTGGGGGAGGCCTTTAGCCCATCCTCTTTATTTTTATTTTTCATATTTTAAATTTTTTGTAGAGACTAGGTCTCACTATGTTGTCCAGACTGGTCTCAAACTCCCAGGCTCAAGCAATCCTCCTGCCCTAGCCTCCCAAAGTGCTGGTATTACAGGTGTGAGCCACCCATACTCTTTAGAACAGGAGCATACTGCCCACTACATCCTGATAGGCGGGACAGGCGTCAGCCTAAGCACTGGGCCACTCAGGTCCGGACCCCGCCCACTCAAACTTTGGGTGGGGGGGGTTCCCATTCCTTGGTACTATGAGGACTCTTGGGGCTCCCCTCCCCTTTGTAGCCCAGTACGGCGCCCCTCGCTCTCACCCCTCACCATTCTCGCTGACATTACTGCAGGCCCACGTTTTGGTTTCGTTGTTCCACGTGCAGTCGTACCAGAGATTCAGGGACTCCTTCCCAGGGAGAGTCCACCAGGACTAGAAGGGACAGCGACACAAGGGAAGGGAAGGGTTAGGAAAAGGGCGGAACTGGGGAGAGCTTGGATTCAATGGGAAAGGTGGGGTGGGGTCAGGGGAAAGATCAGGAGGGAGGCCTCCGAGGTAGAGCTCCAAGGGTGGATGCTGGGGAGAGGGGCGGGGCTGGGTGACGCCAGAGGAGGGGCGTGGCAAGGCCCCCGTGCACCAGCAGGCTTACCTTGTCCAAAGTGGCCACGAAAAGCAGGATGAGAATGAGGATGTGGAGGGCAGAGACCACCAGCAGGAGGAGCGACATGGCTGCGGTGGAGGACTGAGGAGGGGGCAGAAAGAGATGGAGTCTCAAGAGGTTGGCTCAGAGACAGGTGAGATACCCTAATCCTGAGGGAGGCGGGGCTGGGGTCCGGACGCCTGGGTCTGAGGGAGGAGGGGGTTGGGGGCCTGAACTCCTGGATCCCTCAAGGAGGAGGAGGCTGGGGCCTGGGTTTCTGTGTTCCTCGGGGGCTGGAGAGGGTCAGGGATGGACTCTTGAGGTCCTGGAGTGAGTAGGACTAGCAATGTGGCTCCTCTCTCCTTGCTCTGACTCTGGGCAGATAACGAAAATTCAAGTTGACACTTCTTGCCGATTTATCAGGAACTCGGAGATGCCCCCAGCGACCGGCATCCCCGACTCACACCAGTCCTCTCTTGGGGTGGGTGGAGGAGGGGGACCGGGTGAGTCATCGGGTGACTCATCTCACTCCCCTGCCTCCGAACACCAGGGAAACCCCAGCCCCTGGCTGTGTCCACGAGGTCCCTACCCCACCCTGCTGCCGGCCTGGAGCCTGCTGGACATCTTCTGGAGGAGATGGATTGGGACTGTTGGTGGAGGAAACAGGCCTTCGAAGGAATCAGCCTCCCACGATCCCTCAGTGTCCAGAAACGGGGGACCTGGAGATTCCCCAGACCCGGGGTGTTCGCGTGGAAAGCCCGGATCTCAAAATCCTCAGAGGCGAATAGACACCCTTCGTTTTGTTGCAGAAAGTTTTCCAGTGGGCGGCTCTGCTGGGACCCCAAAATCTAGTCCGGCCCCACCCCTTCCCGAATCCCCACCCCAAGTGCTAAGAGATCGCTTCTTAAATTGCAAGGGTTTCCGTGGGGGCCGGGGGTGGAAAGGGGGTCTCTCCCAGCCTGGGGGTGTCCTTCCCAAACTGCTGCATTCCCAAGTAAATCAAAGAAAGAAATCCCAGCCTGAATAACGGACTGGAAACTTACCGACAGCCGCGAAAAAAGTCCGAGTCGGAGTCTCGTCCCTAGCTCGGGCCTCCGCGCCCCGCCCTTCTCCTCCCTCCTTCCACCCTGCCCAGGCCCCCGCCTCCCTCGCCGCCTTCTTCCCTCCCTCGCTCTCCCCTCCAATCCCGCAGCCCTTTTTCTCTGCGCGCGGTCTCCAGCCTCTTGTCGCTCTCTCCTGCCCTCACTGCCTGGACCTCCTTCTCCCTTTCTTCTGTTTCTCTTTCTCTGTTCCTCCCAATATATACTGCCCCTTTTTTACCCACCCACACCGCACCCAGCTGAGGTCCACTGCCAGTGGGAGTGCTCAGGCCCTCGGGTTCCTCTTTCTCTGGGCCCCCACCCAATGCCCCCGGCAGTCGTCTTCTGGGGCTCCCTTCCAGGGCTGAGATAAGTGAGAAGTCCTTGGAATGGGGCTCTGGGGTGGGGCAAGCCTCAGGGGTGGGAGGGCCCGATTCTCGGGCCCTTGAGTCTCCGGGTCTTGTCCCGGGACCGGTGTCTGCTCTGAGGGAGGAGGCCAGATTCCTGCGGCAGGGATTGGTTGTGGGGCTAGCGGAGTTGACTCACTCCATGGTGGAGGTCAGGGGATGGGAGATTAAATGTGTGAAACTTGCTGGTGGCGGCGACTCACACCTGTAATCCCAGCACTTTGGGAGGCTGAGACGGTAAGATTACTTGAAGCCCAGGAGATCGAGACCAGCCTGGGCAACATAGTGAGACGTTGTCTCTACCAAAAAATCAAAAATTTAGGCTAATGTGGTGGTGTTGGTGTGCGTCTGTAGACCCAGCTACACAGGGAGCTGAGGCGGAAGGATCGCCTGAGTCCAGGAGGTCGTGGTTGTGGTGGCTGTGATCCACTCCATTCCAGCCTGGATGACCAAAACCCAAAAAAAAGAAAAAAGTAAAAAGTGTGGAATTCTGAAAGTGGGCAGGAGGTGGAAGGTAAAAATCCAGTGCTGTGGGGCACGATGCCTCATGTCTGTAATCCCAGCACTTTGGGAGGTGGAAGTGAGAAGATTGCCTGAGCCCAGGGGTTTGAGACCAGCCTGGGCAACATGGCGAGACCTTGCCTCTACAATAAATAAAAAAATTAGCTGGGCGTGGTGGTGTGTGCCTGTAGTTCCAACTACTTGGAAGGCTGAGGCAGAAGGATAGCTTGAGCCCAGAAAGTAGAGGCTGCGGTGGCCGTGGGTGTGTTACTGCACTCCAGCCTGGGTGACAGAGTGAGACTCTGAAAAAAAAAAAAAAAAAAAAAAAATTCCAGTGACACCATTTCCTGGCTTGGTGACTTTGGGCCAATTATTTCACCTCTCCGAGCTTCTAGTCTATGTAGTGGGTATAATAATGCTGGCAGTATACTAATACCAATTATAATTCTGATACTTATTCTGAATGAATAAGGTAATTCCAGTACACTATCATGTCTAACCCGTTCATTTCTTCTTTCACCAAACATTTATTGAACATCTACTATGAACCAGGAATTAATAATGAAGAAAATAGGCCAGCATGGTGGCTCAGCCTGTAATCCCAGCATTTTGGGAGGCCGAGACGGAAGAGGATTGTCTTGAGTGGGGGGTTCGAGACCAGCCTGGACAGCTTGGTGAGACCTCATCTCTACAATAAACCACAAAAAACTAGCCGGACATGGTGGTGTGCATCAGTAGTTCCGGCTACTTGGAAGGCTGAGGCAGAAGGATCGCCTAAGCCTAGCAGGTCCCAGGCTCGGTGGCCGTGAGTGTGCCACTGCACTCCAGCCTGGGCAACAAATAGTGAGACTCCAAATC